TTAAATTCTAATAAAGTTTTATAATGCCTTTTCCACAGAAGTCATGCATGTTTTTGTTATATTGATTCCAGGGCACTATACCCTTTATTGCCTTTGCAAGTGTTTTTTATAGCATTTTCTTGTGATAAGATGTTCTTCACAGGAACTGTTATTCTAAGATTCAGCAGCCTTACTAAATTCCCATTAATTTCAATAATTTCTGTATATTATCTTTGGCTTCTTTGTAGACACCTATTGTTTTCTGTTTGCGAATACTGCAATTTATATTTCCTTGTTTTCAATCTTTGTGTTTTGAATTGAATTTCACATACGTTTTTATCTCTTTGTTATTCATTTCTATTCTAATTGGACTGTAATCATAGAAACTGTCCTTATGATAACAACTAGTATAAAACTTTCTGACTTTTGCTTTAAGTGGAATATTGCAATGAGTTTTGTTGTGTTTTGCTTTGTTTTGTTTTGTTTTTTGAGACGAAGTCTCACTCTGTCACCCAGGCTGGAGTGCAATGGCATGACCCTGGCTCATTGCAACCTCTGCCCTCCGAGTTCAAAGGATTATCCTGCCTCAGCCTCCCAAGTAGCTGGAATTACAGGTGCCTGCCACCCCACCCAGCTAATTTTTTGTATTTTTAGTAAAGGGGTTTTACCATCTTGGCCAGGGTGGTCTTGAACTCCTGACCTCGTGATCCACCCACCTTGGCCTCCCAAAGTGCATGGATTATAGGCATGAGCTACCGCACCCGCCTAAAGTAGGGATTTTTAACCAACTCGGTGCCCAGAACAGAGTAGAAGGTGAAGAATATTTGGGTTTGTTTGTTTGTGTTTTGAGATAGGGTATCACTCTGTCACCAAGGCTGGAGTGCATTAGTGCAATCATGACTCACTGCAGCCTCAACTTCTTGGGCTCAAGTGATCCTCCCACTTCAACCTCTCGAGTAGCTGGGACGACTGGCATGCACCACTATGCTTGGCTGATTTTTTTTTTTTTTTTTTTTTGTAGAGATGGGGTTTCACCATGTTTCCCAGGCTGGTCTCAAACTCCTGGCCTCAAGTGACCCACTGCCCCAGACTTGGCCAAAGTGCTGAGATTACAGGCATTGGCCACCACACTCCCAGCCAAGTTTGTTGAGAAATTGTTCTCACCCTTGAGAAATTGAGTAAATACAGGATTCAGGGTTGGCATCGCATCTTCTGCAGGTTACCAAAGAAGGAACTGAGGCCTGTGAGATCACTTGCCTTTGGTGACACAGCAGAGAGAATTGGACAAAGAACCAAAGATGTCTAGACTTCCAAACAGGGATTGTTTCATCACTGTAACTCCTCTGGTCAGAATTTTTCCCCACATTTAATTCAATGTGTGTGTATACTTTGGGGAGAAATGAATGCTAACTCCTAACTGAGAAACATTGATTTTCCCAAAGAGTCTATGACTGTGCTGCTTCCAGGATGCTAAGAACAGCATGGTTAATGCACTTTGGTTTTCTTATTAAAACTACGAGTCATTTCATTTATTTTGAATCCTTTCCTCATCTGTTGTGCATGTGGTGGTCACCAGGGATAGAGCCCCATCACCCACTCCAGGAAGTGATGACTGACTTCGTGAATGGATAAAGAAACACTGTTTTCATAAGCGTAGTCATGTGATCAAAGAGTGGGTCCCCTATACATGTTCCCAGTTAACTGTGCCATCCCATTCCATGTCCCTTCTACTTCCAGTGTACTTTCTAATCCTTCACAGCCCATAAACAAAAAGGGAAGCCTGGCTAAAACAAAAGCAGAAAAACAGCTAAAGGAAGATGAAAACATCCTAGTAATTAGTGAGAGACTCAGATATCCCACTATCCCAAGGTGACTCTAATTCACAATGGCTGACTGGGCCCTGGCTTCTCACTCCAGGGGGTAGTCCCATCTGCACCCAGTACCACTTCCCACAAGGACCCCCAGAGCTCAGTCTCTAGCACCAGACTCTGTGCTTTGATACACAGCTGGCCATCTTGTAATACCCCTTCATCTGAATGTCTTATAGTCATCTTCAATTCAGCATGTATTATTAGTCCAACTGTGTAATTAAGATCTATGCGTTTCATTGTATGTAAATCTTACTTTAAGAAAAAGTAAAAATTTTAAAAAGAAGCAAGTTTAAAGTGACATTAATCTTCTGTCTATCAAAACTCCTCCTCCTAAGGTCTTGAGCTCACCTCAGAATGTCCTCAGCTCCTGAGCCTCTCTGCACCCAATCAATCAGCAAGACCTATTGATTCCACCCATTCCATTTCTCTCAAAACTTTCCTTTTCTTCTACATTCTCTCATCAATTCCCATCATCACATTTTTTACTCAAATGATACTGACCACTCACTCTAGACCAGGCACTGTGCGAGGCTGAAAGTCTATGACATGAACAACACATAAATAGTGTCATGATCGAGTTTGTATTTCAGAACCCCAGGTGGAAACTATACCACAGGGCACTTGGGAATACAAAATACATAGGGGTAGGAGGCTTGGTGGGCTGCACAGATGGCAGAGGTCAGGGATGGGTCTGGAAAGTTCCTGGAGAGGCTGATCTCTGTTGAAAGATGAATAGGCATTTGCCAAGTGGACAAAAGAAGAACTGCATTCCAGCCAATGAGAGGAGCTCAGACAGAGCAGCTGGAGAGGAGCATATAAGTCATTCTGGTTTGAGCCTGGGGGGTGAAGGTTGGTGGTTTGTTTGTTTGAGGATTTGTTCTAAAGGAGCTAGAAATGGAGAAGCAGGTGGGAACCAGATCATGGAAGGTTTTGTCAATCACATTCAGGAGTCTGAATCTTAAACTGTCATTAGAGGGAATGTCAGCGAGGCTTTGAGCAAGGAACTAGTCAACCCCTACTCCTTTAGAAGATCGCTTTAGATATCATGATCTCTTATGTGAACAGCTACAAGTACTTTTCTTAACTCTCATCTCTCCTCTTCATACACCATTTCCATGTGAAAACAAGATGATGTGTCTTCCCTAATTAAAATGTAAAACAAAATAAAAACCCTAACATAACTCCCATAGCAGAGATTCCAAACCTAAGATGAGTTTTATGCTCATCTGTCATAAATAAATGAATAAATTATAAACACGGAAGCTTAGGAAAATTATCAGCATTCTAGTTAATATGAGGTCTAGAATCATGAAAATAAACCCAAATACAGTATAAGTGATTAAAGTATATTGAATAAAAAAAATTAAAATAGAAGACAAAGAATGTTGTTCACAAGTTTAGTAATGCAGCAATAATTTATATAAATTATTCCTAATATTAATGAATATGGAGAAATCAATGAATAACACATTGAAAATGAAGCCTAGAGACGAAGTAAAACTAGTCTTTTTGGAATATTTAAATTCTACTTTAATGATTGAAAAATATGAAGGCAATTCCAAATATGACAAACGAAAAGAGACATGCAAAGAGATATACGAAGACATTTTAAAAATCACAAAATGATACATGTTAATCAGTTGGAAAACACGGATCACTAAGTGATTTTGCGAAGCAGACAACAAAATCATTAACACAGAAGTTATGTACCAAAATGCAAAGGGGTCTTCCCACCTCTGAACAAAACAACAAAAGCACAAAAGTTGTTAGGCTGAGACATTTTCAAAGTAAATTATTTTATGACCTCAAGCAAAAGATCATATCAAAGCTTATTTTATCAGTTCCAGGAAAGTTTCAAATGTTTAACTAAGTCAGCATAAAAATGATACCAAAATCTAGGAGAAAACGCGTAATAAGATAAAATGCTGCAAAACACAGTTCATCCTCAGTTATATCAGTGAAATATCCTAATCCTAAAGACTTGCCCATAGAATGCAGCAAACACAGAGACAGAGCAAGAAAGGACGCCGAGCAGGAGCCTACGAGGTTCACGAAGAAAACATGGCTGGCTGAGCTGAGAGAAACAGTCCGGGATTTGGCCACGTGACGTGGCGCGGTGGCCCCCGCGGCAGGGGACCGCCAGGCTGCCCGCCCCTCAGCCCTCAGCCTCAGCCCCTCAGCCGCCTCAGCCTCAGCGGCCTCAGTCCTCAGCCTCAGTCCCCTCAGCCCTCAGTCCCCTCAGCCTCAGTCCCTCAGCGCCTCACAGCGCCTCAGCCACCTCAGCCCTCTTCAGCCGCCTCTGTGCCTCCTCAGCTCCTTCAGTCCCTCAGCGCCTCAGCCTGTCAGCCCCCGCCAGCCTCCCCCAGTCCCTCAGCCCCACAGCCGACTCAGTCCTCAGCCCTCAGCCCTCAGTCCCCTCAACCCCTCAGTCCCTCAGCCCTCAGTCCCCAGCCCTCAGCCCTCAGCCCTCAGCCTCCCTCAGTCCCCTCAGTCCCTCAGTCCTCAGCCCTCACAGTCCCCTGCCAGCGCCTCAGCCGCCCCAGCCACCTCAGCCCTTCAGCCACTCCCCAGCCTCAGCCCCTCAGTCCCCAGCGCCTCAGCCTGTCAGCCCCGGCCAGCCTCCCCCAGTCCCTCAGCCCTCAGCCGCCTCAGTCCTCAGCGCCCCTCAGCCCTCAGCCCCTCAGTCCCTCAGTCCCTCAATCCCTCAGGTCCCCCAGCCCTCAGTCCCCTCAGCTCCCTCAGTCCCCCAGCCTCAGTCCTCAGCGCCTCAGGCCCTCAGCCCTCAGTCCCCCCAGCCCTCAGCCCTCAGCTCCCCTCAGCCTCAGCCCTCGGGTCCCCAGCCCCCAGTCCTCAGCCTCAGCCTCAGCCCCTCAGCCCCTCAGTCCCCAAAGGCCTCACAGCCGCCTCAGCCGCCTCAGCCCTCAGTCCTCAGCCCCCCAGCCCTCAGCGCCTCAGCCCTCAGCCTCAGTCCCCCAGCCCCTCAGCCCCCTCAGCGCCTACAGCCCCAGCCCCAGCCCTCAGCCTCAGTCCTCAGCCCTCAGCCTCACACACCGCCTCAGCCACCTCAGCCCTTCAGCCGCCTCAGCCTCAGCCCTCTGTCGCCTCAGCCCTCAGCCGCCACACCGCGGCTCTCTCACCCGCCCCGCTGCCTTAGGGGTCCCGCTGCCCAGCGGGCTCCAGCGCAGCCTCCTGGTTGTTCATCCCACTCTGCGGCGCCCGCCACTGGCTCCTGCCGCCAGCTACCACCCGCAAGGTGGCAGGGCCAGTCCTGGGGGAGCTGGACTCGTGAGGGGCGGCGGGATGGCAGGCGGTGTCCAAAAGCCTATGAAAGCCTCTACCTGGCGGGAGCGGGGCTGGACAGACCCGAGGCCCCCAGTCTGTCCCAGCCAAGGCCTCATGGCGCTGTCACCCACGAGGAGTCCCTGGGCGGAGCACCGCTTGCTCCAAGCTGTCGCGGCTTCTGGGAGGGCGGTGGATCTCGCGGCCCAACGCCGCCAAAGGGGCAGCTTGTGCCTGAGAGTGGGGGAAATGCACCCTTCCTGGGATCTGAAAACTCCAGGTCCTCCTGCCGGAGCCCACGGCTCGGGATGGGGACCAGGACGCGCCTGCCCTGAGGAAACGCCTCACACCTGAGCCTGAAAAATTGTCCCCAAGAAAACCCCACACTCGCAGGCTGACGCTTGGGCCCGGGTGCGGTGTCATATAAAATGGGGCACCATGGCTTTCCATGCAAAAGACATCAAGTCTGGAGTTTATGAAATTATTGACGGAAAGCCGCACCACACAGTGCCAAGAGATCATGGTCGACCTGGCAGAACTGATCAGATCGATGCTAAGCAAAAGGCCTGAAGAAGACCACTGGGAGGAGCATCCCGAGGGCCTTCCCCAAAGCGCCAGATGGCCTTCCTTTCTGAGGCCACAAAGGCCAGAACTTCCAGAAATAGCATGAAACACGGACTTGATGACACCCAAGCCTGTTGCCACCGTGGTTTCTGGCAAGGCAAGTGCAGAATCCAAGGCATGAAGTGAGCACCACTCTTGTTCAGTCCTCTGAGGGCTGAACAAGTTGTATGATAATGGTAAAGGCAAGTGTTTGTCCCAGGAGCGGTCCAGGTGGTTGGTCCCTTAGTCACCTGCCAGTCTGAAGGCCCAGGGACTGAGGCCATGGGTGAACTGGCCAGGTCAGTAGGGTAAATACTGGAGACCATCCTGCAGAAGGGAGGCATGCAGCGAGCCAGGGCGGAGGTTGCAGTGAGCTGAGATCCCACCATTGCACTCCAGCCTGAGGACAAGAGCGAGACTCCATCTCAAAAAAAAAAAAAAAAAAAAAAAGAAAAGAAAAGAAAAGAAAAGTAGTGGGAAAAGAAAAGAGGAAGAAAGCAAATTTATTGTCTTCAGTGGTTCGAAGTAACAAAGCTACCACAAATACAGTATGTAAACTAACTCCTGCTTCAATTGTTTAAGGAAGAAATTATATAGGGTACATACTAAATTAGTCTTGTGTGACATTTTTGAGTACTCAAAGGGAAAATTCTTCTAATTAAAAAAGGAAAAGGAGTTTTGACTCATCTTGGCCAGCATTTAAAACACGCAGCATGGCAGATACTTGTCCTGCAGCTCTTCCCAGTGAGGGTCTTCAGTGGTATTTACTGCAGTTGTCAGCTGATGCTGGGTTCTCCTGGGCCTGGGTAACCTCAGGACTCACTGACAGCTTCTCCTCTTCAGGCTTCCAGAAAAGTAAATAGCCAACCAGGGAAATAGATTGATCATTTTGAACAATCTTGACAAATTGTAGAAATTTTATTGGTACTGCTCACATCTCTAGGTTTTTGAGCATTTTTTTCCATGGAGATTTGGTGATAAACATTGCATTTATGCTTCTACATGTGTTCATGAGAATTGGCCTCTTGATACTTGAGTAGTAAATAATTGGCCTTTGATACTTGAGTAGTAACACTATTCTGAGTGAAGAAACTGTTGAAATATATTTATAAATACACATACTCTTATCTACAATTTATTAACATGCATGTTCAACAATCTGAAATATTTAAATTTTGGCAAATCTCAATGCTGACCAGCATAACATTCAATGAAATAGCTTTCTTTAATTTTAATACTTCTAATTTATGGCTCATTTATTAATTTTATGTTTTCATGCTGTTTTAGTATGTGAACACATTGTATATTTCTTTTTTTTTTTTAAGACATAGATGTACTCTTGTTGCCCAGGCCGGGAGTGCAATGGCACGATCGAGCTCACCACAACCTCTGCCTCCCAAGTTCGAGCAATTCTCCCGCCTCAGCCTCCCAAGTAGCTGGGATTACAGGCATGTGCCACCACGCCTGGCGAATTTTGTATTTTTAGTAGAGACGGGGTTTCCATGTTGGTCAGGCTGGTCTCGAACCCCTGACCAGGTTACTCCACCTGCCTCAGCCTCCCAAAGTGCTGGGATTACAGGTGTGAGCCACTGCGCCCAACCTCCTCCGCCTCTTTCTCCAGATGCACATAACAGTTATCCTCTGCCCGTCCACTAATGTATATTAGGATTGTTGGAGAAAATAACTTGCTTTAGCCTACAGATCCACAAATTGGAAAGTAGTTTCAGGAGCTGCACTAAATGATTTGCACTCATCTGAACGGATTTAAAAATATTTAGAAGGTAAGAGATTCTGAACTTCAAGTTTGTGATGTCTAGGGGCCATTTTAGACTTTGAGCTGATAAGATGATATGATTTAGATAATAATGCTTTGGATTTGAGCTGATGATGAGATGAAATCTTTGGGAGGAGTAAATGTATTTTGCCTTAGAGAATAGGAATATTTGAAATTCAGAGGGAAACTGCATGGTAGGTGATAGGAAGATTTCTTCTAAGATTTTCTTCAGAAACAATTACTATGTTTCTAATGGTGGTAAACAATTACCATGCTGTAGGGAAGGCTACATGCCATAGAGAATGTGGCCACCTGTAGGATTTGAGAACAACTCTCCATTGACAGGCAAAAAGAAACCAGAATCTTCAGTCTTGTAATTCAGCAGGAACTGAATTCTGACAAAACCGTTGAGCTTGGAAAATGGCCTGAAATAAATAACAGCCTTGGGGTCCATAACTTGGAAGAAAAGGAGACAAATTCTGTTTGTAGATGATACAATCTTGGAGAAACTCTGAAGACTCCACCAGAAAACTATTAGAATAGTTAAACAAATGTAGTTAAGTTGCAGGATACAAAATTAACATACAGAAATCAGTAATATTTCTCTATGCCAACAGTGAACAATCTAAAAAGAAATTAAGAGAGAAATCTGTTAATGGGCCAGATGTAAATAAAACCAAACATTTAGGAATAAACTTAACCAAAGAAGTGAAAGATCTCTACAAAGAAAACTATAAAGCATTGATGCAGGAAATTGAAGAGAACACACACAATTGACATATATTCTATGTTCATAGATGCAAAGAATCAATATTTACAAAATGTCGATACTACTCCAAAGCAATCTATAGATTCAGTGCAATCCCTGTCAAATACTTCAAGGACATTCTTCGTAATAGAAAAAAATAATCCAAATTGAACCACAAAGACCTAGAATAGCCAAAGCTACCCTGAGCAAAAAGAACAAAATTGGAGGCATCACATTACCTGACTTCAAATTATACCACAGAACTATAGAAAAAACAGCAATGGATCAAGATAAAACAGACACATAGACCAGTGGAAAAGAATAGAGAACCCAGAAATAACCTGATACCCCTGGGCCCTTTCCTGTCTCCCCTTGTGTTCAGGGGTGGCTGCTGCTCTGAGACCATTAGAACTGGGAAGAGAGATGGAGCCATGCTGCATTGTTGGTGGGCATTACTCTAAACTTTGTATCCAAGGAATCCTCCTTATTCACTGTGGTACTGCTCTGCCATTGCCCTGTGATCATAAACAACTTCACCGGAGGCAGGCAGGCCATAGGCACTGTCCCTGTATTAGTCCTGTGTTTGATGCCTTTAGAATTTACTTTTATTAGAACAAATATTTCATGGTGGGCTTGGGAATCTCTTCCTTTAGCTCCAAATCTGCTATGAAATTCAGGAAAACATTTTTCCTATTTCCTAATAACCTCTTCTGTAGGTGTTGATTGTTTCCAAAGTGTGTCTGATCACTGAGGGACTTCGGGTGACTCCCAGACTCATTCACACCATGTATGAAAAATCGCCTGCATTTCTGAGATGCTGGCTGCCCGTTCAGTGCTTCACAGGAAGACATGGGCTTTCCTCTTCAGATACCTGAAGGGAATGCTTTGAGCTGAGTGGTTTGCTGCCCCTCCAGCCCAGGGCCTCCTATGGGCCTGGGCTCCTGGAGGGTCACTGCAACCTCCTGTAGTTTCCTCTTACACTGGCACCACTGCAACATACACACCTGAGTACTATTGTATTCTGGCTTGGTGTGTATGCTTTTCACGGTAAAATTGCTGTTCTTTTGATAATTCAAGTGGACTGTTTTGTTTACTATATCCTTGAAACCAAAAATTGTAACAGAAACATTCCCATGACTATGCTGTGGTTGGAGACTTTATTACCAACAGATTTACACCTTCCTTTTCCCTCTCATTTTCAGGAGCTGTTTCAGGACTCCTCCTCCTCCCCTAATAACTTGCAGTCTTTCCTATATCATAATAAAGCTACATTTTCTCTGAAAATTGGCAGGCTCTCCCTTCAAAAACACAAACAGCTGGAAGAGAGGGCGGCAGGAGGGGAGAAAAGCAGCCAGGGCACACTGGCCTGGGTATGGGGCATCCCTGGTCTGAGTCAGTGACCAGAGCTGCAGCCTGGCTTTCTGCCCAAAGTCTTGTCTGGGGGTCAGGAAGGCCCTGCACTCACATTTCATCCCTTTTCGTGATTGGCCTGCTGCTGGTTGACCTTCATTTCTCCTTTTTTGGGCAGGAAGGCTGTTGCATGGTTGTGATCCCAATGGAGGGACTGCCAGTTGCAGAAGAATATAAATTGTGAAGATTTCATGGACACTTATCACTTCCCCAATCAATACTCTTGTGGTTTCCTATGCCTGTCTTTACTTTAATCTGTTAATCTCATCATCTTCGTAAGCTGAGGACGAATGTAGCCTCAGGACCCTGTGATGATTGTGTTAACTGCACAAATTGTTTGTAGAGCGTGTGTGTTTGAACAATATGAAATCTGGGTAACTAAGAACAGATAACAGCAATTTTCAAGGAACAAGGAGATAACCTTAAAGTCTGGCTGCTCAGGCCGGGCAGACAGAGCCATATTTTCTTATTACCAAAATGGTAAGAGAAATATTGCTGAATCTCTTCCCCAGTAAGGAATATTCACAATTACTATGGGGAAAAGAATACATTCCTCAGGAGGAGGCCTCTAAATGGCTGTTCTGGGGTGTCTGCCTTATGATACAGATAGGATGAAACACGCCCTAGTTCCCTGCAGTGCCTCTAGACTTGTAGATTTTAGGAAGTTCCAGCCTGGCAAATTCTAGTCAGACCGCCCTCTGCTCTTGAACTCCTGTTATTAATGCGTGTACAGCAGGACACAGTTCATTAGTGATTCTAGTTTCGCCCTGATCTTCTGCCTTGTGATCTTTTGTCACCCTTGAAGCATGTAATCTCTGTGACTCCACACATCATTCATGCACACTTCTCCTTTGAAAATTGCTAATAAAAACTTGCTGGTTTTATGGCTCAGGGGGCATCACAGAACCTGCCGACATGTGATATCTCACCCGGACACTCAACTTTAAAATTTCTCTCTTTTGTACTCTTTTCCTTTATTTCTCAGACCAGCTGACACTTAGGGAAAATAGAAAAGGACCCACGTTGAATATCATGGGTGGGTTTCTGATAAAGGTGATATCCAGGATTCAGGAGAGCCTTCCAACTTGGGTATGAAAGTCACTCTGAGGCCCTTAACATGCAGAAATCCTTGCCAGGCTTGGATTGCAAGCCCCAGGCTATGGTATAGCACAGTGTATTTTGTAGCAAGCCTCTGCATGATTGGAGAGTCACAAATGAAAAGAAATACTATAATCAGTGGAGAGAAGATGGCCAGCTATTCAAGGCATGGTTCTCTGACAGATCACAAGGTGGGGGTGGACCTCTATGACATCATCTCCCAGCCACTTCCACATACTTCCCTGCCCTCAGTGGGTCAGAGTTCCCTCTCTGCTTGGCTTCATCTTCTATTCTGAAGCCTCTGAGTTCTGAATAGTTCTGCCCCCCTCCTTTTCAGATGCCTTTGTGGGAAAACTTGTTATTTGACTTTACATGAAAACGCCAGAAACACCAGGAGAAGGCCCACAGAGTTTCAGACTTAGTCCTGTCTCTTCATATTAAATAGAACCATTGTTGTCTTCCTCAAAGCTTCACCTGCCTGGGTCCTCAGACCTTCCAACCAGCAAAGCTCCATTCCTCCAGGACAGGAATAGGACACCTTGTGACTGAGACATTCAGTGCAATACTGAACATTGTCCACTTTCACACCTTCACTCTCAGAACTATACCTTCTGGCTGTCGGAGAGTCACACTGTGTACTGGATTCCAGTAGAAAGCATGACATTTATCTTTTAAGAAAACCATCATGATCAGCATAACTGAGTGATCCTAAGCCCAGTTGCTTCCAGACAGTGGCTGATGTAGCGAGAACAGTTAGTTCCCTGGTCAGGGCCACTGCTGCATGTCCTCAGGCTGTGAATGAAGTGACCTGGTCAAAAGCAATACGTGTGGGCTGCCAAGATGGTGACAGGAAGGGAAGGGCAAGTCTATATCCAGGTAGGGCTCCTCGCAGTGAAGGCCAATCTCAGCCCTCCACAGTGTGGGCAGCTTGCCTACAGGCAGCCAGCTGTCCTCCTGGGGAAGAAAAGCAGCCTTCCAGGATCCTGCCACCAAGTCCTCGTCAGCAGATGGGATGCTTGGCAGTGGTGTTGGCCTGGTCAGCCTTGGGGGCACATGCATCATGCTGAGCCTCTGTCCCATGCCTGTCTGATGGCCACTTTGTCCTCACCTAACATGGTGGCCAGGGAAAGAAGCGACTTACCCTGGCATGTGCCGCTTTGCTCCACTTTGACCAAGAGCATCCTCTCTGCAGGATTCTTTGGTGGGAACAATGGAAATGGATGAAACCACCTTCACAGTCTGAGCCACTGAGGCCTCTCCGCCTTCTGGGAAGCTCCGACTGGAAGGTGCTTGGCAGTGATAGCTGCTGTATTGCAGCAGCGGCTAGGTCCTTCTTCAGTTACTAGAAGTCACTTTCTTAGGGGATTTTTTTTTTACATGAAGTTTGGGAGGGGCTAACAGTCTGCAGGATGAGGCTTCCAGGAGGGGGGTGGTGTGGCAGGCAGGGCCTCAAAGCCTCCAGGTGGCATGTTGGCACAGCAGACTGGGGCACTCGGGGTGCTGTTGGGCCAGGCTCCGGAGTGCAGACTGCCTGCACTGCAGTGATGGAGTTGGGAAGAGGCAGCAGTGTTCACAGCTGTTGACCCTCCTGTGCCAGCTGCCCATATCATCACTGTACGGGCTCAGCATCTCTGGCCCAGCTTCCCAAGGTTGTCTGGTGTGAACCCTTGCAGCACCCAAGGCTCGCTGTGCCCTGGTCCCGTGTGGTCACCTGGGGGCCTGTAGTGCCCCTCTCCTCCTAGGACTCGGAATGAAGCCAGGTCCCTCTGGGCCGGGGGCTTGGGCCCTGGGGGAGGGGCTGTGACCCACGGGTGAGGTCAGGAGCCCCCGGCACGCTGCTGGCTGGCTGGGGCTGTGGGAACCCCATGCTCAGCCTTCCCTCCAGAGGCTGTGATGGGACCAAGTTCCCCACTAAGTATTTCCCAAGGCCAAGAAGACAAAAATATGAAATAAAAATAAAATAGCAGGAAAAACAAGGTCCAGCAGCCATCCGGAGCTGCGAGGCAGCTGGGCAGGTGCTGCCTGGGCTCCCTCCATGCCATCTTGTTCTTCTACCGATGTGAGTCTCAGGCAGGGGACACCTTGTTTCAGGGGTATCTCTCAAAGTGCCTCCTCCCTGTCATAAACCCCAGGCAGGGCCTGGTGTCGCGGTCCCAGTGGGTTCGCTGGGCAGGGTACATCTTGTTGTTCCAGGGTTACTGTCCACAGAAGATATATAACTGACAGAATCCCAAGAGCCATGTTCAAAATGGCAGCACAGGAAACATGGACCCCCGACATGCAGGTCTGTATGGAGCTGTGGCGTCGAGTTCCTGGACAAGTGTTTCCGTGTAATACAAAGCCTGACCTCACTGGGGGACAGGCTGCCATCATCTTGAACCTCTGGATCCCCCAGAGAGCAGCCTGCTGCCCTGGGTTCTTGAGAAGCCCCTGGACCCCCGACCTGTGGGTCTGTGTGGAGCTGTGACAGAGTTCCCGGACAAATGTTTCCGTGTAATACAAAGCCTGACCTCACCGGGGGACATCCTGTCCTCATCTCGAGCCTCTGGCCCCCTCAGAGAGCAGTCTTCTGCCCTGGGCTCTGGGGAAGCCCCTTGGTGTTGGTGGGCCTTGACCTGGGCCTTGGGGACAGCCCCGTCAGGCCAGGCTGGGGGAGGACAAGGCTTTTGTCCCAGGGAGGCTGATGTCATGAGCTCCTGGAGCTGAGCTGGTGGGGTGAGGACAGCCAGTCTGTCCCCCTCACAGAGGGGCCCAATGCCAGGGGACACCCTAGAGGACCTCTGCTTGAGCCCAGCTGAAAAAAAGAAACAGACATGGTCAGTGTCTTCTCCAAGCCCATCTAGTCTCTTCAGGGCTAACCTCCACAGGCCTGGGTCTCTGGAGTCCTCTGGGTCCCTGTGCAGCCCCCTGGCCTGACTGAGGATGCCCCTGCAGGCTGCTGATCCCAGGGCGAGGGCTGTGTGCAGTCTGGGGTGGGGGAGCTTTCAGAGAACCTCAGGTCTCTCCTGAAATGGCCCCCAGGGTTCAGGGTGGCTCAGGGCTTCCTGCCTCACACCCTCACCTCAGGGCAGTTTGGCAGCCCCAATTCAGGACTCAGGTGGGAGGGATCTGCACTGTCACCCAACCCCCTTGCCACCTCACATGGGGGCCTGTCTCCACAGCGGGTGAGAAGGGAATGGGCACAGGTTCCCCTCTACCCTCCAGGCCACCCACCCCATGCCAGGGCTGCAGCGATCCCACAGCCGGCTGAACTCTTGGTTGTGGCTCTGGGTCAGGGCTTTCCCCAGTGCCCTCTGCCCGAATCCTCTCTGGGTCAGGGACACTGATTCTCTTGTCCCCCTAGCTTGTTGTTTTGATACCCTTGGGGGACACTAGAGAATGAGGGGTCTCTGCTGCTTGGAGGTGAGAGTGGGGGCTTCCACAGCGGGGTCTGACTGCCCCAGTGTCCCTCAGGGCCCTTCAAGGAGGAGAGGAGGACAATGTGGAAAGTAGGAGAGGGGTGTTATGAGGTCCTGCCCATGGCCCCTGCCTGTCCACACAGCATGTCCAGCACACACACATGTGCTCAGCACATGCCCTGAGGACTAGCAGACCCATTTCACTTTCTTAGAATAGAGGAGGGAGAGGAGGAAGAAGAGGTGCAGGAGGAAGGCCAGGTAGGAGGACTGGGGGGGCCAGGGCACTCCCCACCATTGACTGCCCCAGAGGGTTACTTGGGAGGGGACCTGGTGCTGGAGCCCACCTGGGGGTGGCAGGTCCCGGTGTTTCCTTGTGAATTCCTTCATGGAGGTTTGAAGGATCCTGAGGACTTCGTTGTCCTCTAGGGGCCAGTTCTGGAAGTCGCTCCTGAAACTCCCAGACGGTGCTCCAGGAAAGCTTCATGAAGCACTCTAGGGACAGGGCGTGCATCAGGCCAGGAGTGTTCCTTGGGAGGGGTCTGTGCCTGCACCCCATTTCCACCAGGCCCCACCTCCCACTGGGTGGTGCCTGGTCCTTTATGGCCACCCCGGGGTCCAGCTGTGCACAGGAGGCTTACAGTTGGGGAAGGCCAGGCAGGGAAGTGCTCACCACACTCCTGACTTTCATCTGGGTCATGTAGGGGGTGGACTCAGTGTCATCATGCCTTGCCCAGTCCACCAGGCCAGACCCCCCTAGCCAGATGGAGCAGGCAGTGTAAGGACACATCCCTCAGGCCAGCGGGGTCTGTCCCACGTGTTCCCCTGTCCCGTCCCGCGGGATCGTCAATGTGGACCCTGGAAGAGGGAGTGGGAACTCAGGGGGACAAGAGACACAAGAAATGGAGACAAGACAGTATCCTGATCAAGTCTCGTTTATTGGTGGCAGCGTAATGCCTTATATAGACCAGCAAGGGCGGAGGTTGGGCCAGGGTGATGACGGTGGCCCTGCGGTGGGCGTGGCCAGGTAGATTTCGGTTTCTTCGGTCAGACATCATGTTGCGCCTGCACCGTTGGCTGGTAATTTTCCCGGGCATGGGATGGTGGGTGGTGAAAAACCCGGAAGAGCGCCATTTTGTACTGGCGTATGAGACAGCAGAACAGGGAAGAAAGTAAATCTAGGGAGGAGGCATAAAGTGGAAATGTATAGAGCTCAGGCATCAGTTGTCAGTTATTATCGCTATGGCCTGACCACGTGGCTCCGGACATTCCCCCAAGCACCCTCGGGCACACAGGACTTACTCCTGTGTATTTTGAATGATGCATGCGCCATGGTCGTCAGTACCCACTCGCCCTTCAAGATGAACACATCCCACAGTCTCAGGGTGATCCAGAAGGATTTCTGTGGGGACAGCAAGTGTGGGAGAACCTGGTCTTTCCAAGCTGGGGCCAGTAGCCTGAGCAGGGCCCACTGGGGTTTCAGTCCACTGGAGTGCTGGGGACCCCTCTCCATGGGATGAGACCCCCAGCAAGACTGAGTCAGACAAGGTCCTGTAGCTCTTCATGAGGGACTCCGCTCAACAGCGCTGTGGCTTCTGGAAAGAGGGGTTTCCTGAGGACCTGGGGCTTCCTTGGGCCCTCCCAAGTCAGGTCCTGTCCCAGTCTGCCCACGAGGCTGGGCCTGAGCCCTGGCCTCTGCCATGGGATGCCCCCTCTCTTGAGCAGAGCCTGACTTGTGAGCCCTGCAGGGATCTGCTTGTGCCTCCTGTGGGCTGTGGTTGAGCCAAGTCCTCCTGGGGGAGCTGGACCCCTGAGCTGAGGGAACCAGGCACTGCAGGACAGGAGGGTCCCTGGGCTGGGATCTCCCTGTGCCTCCTTATCCCATCAAGGAAACACCAGAGGAGCCTTGTCAGCATAGAACCCTCAATGCACAGCCCTTCTTTGCCTTGAAGGGAGGAGCAGAGGTGCTCAGGGGCCCCTGGGCTGCCCTGAAATCCTCCCATTTCCAGGCCCGTCTGCAGACCCTCCCTCAAGGGGAACAACCCATGGCGGCCGCCAGGGCTCCAACACCCGCCCCATGCACGGACACCCGGTGGACACACTTCTTTTAGCCTTGCTCAGCTGCAGCTCAGCCCTGGTCCACCAGTGCCCCTGCCTCTGCCAGGGCGGGAAAAGGAAACCCAACACCGAAGCCATGGGGAATCCCCATCCCAGGTCAGGCTGTGGCTGGGACTCAGCCTCTTGCCAGCCCCATGAGGGACTCAAGCCTCCCCTGGCCCATGGGACCCAGGGCCTCTGGGGAGGAGCCAAGGGTGTCAACTACTCACCAGGTGTCTCATGATCTTCCGGAAGGACTTGTGCAACACCTGTTCCTGATATGATAGGAGTCTCTCAAGCCAGGCAGTATTGGGCTGTAGAATACTTAGAAACCCCCAACCCATCACCCCATCAGACCCCACTCCCAAGATGTGGAGGCATTAGCTGGAAGAGCTGGACAGGGCAGGGGAACCCCAGACCCCGAAGCCTCCCTCCCTCCCATCTAGTGACCCCAGCATGCAGCCTCAGCCCTGGGGAGGAGGACCCTGGCTGGAAGTGCTGCCCAGCGGCATCCTGGGTCCAGGTGCCAGGAGGGCAGGCCTGCCTTTGACACCATGAGGTATGGCTAAGGCAGGCAGGTGCTAGCGGGGAGAACGGGGTGGGAGCTGGGGCTAAGTGGCCATCTCCAGGATGTGAGATCAGGCTGGGGGACATGGGATGGACAGATATTGCCACCTTGGCTTCGTTGACCCATCCATAGGAAGGGAAGGTGGCTGGGAGCACAGCCAGCTGGGAGGCAGGAGGACACTCAGAGAGGTGAGTGGCGCCTGCACAAAGTCAGGGCTGGCTTCGGGCGACAGAGGGCAGCCTGGGGGAGGTATCCATGCCCTCTGATGTTAGGGGTGAAGGGCGTCTGACTTGAGGTTTGAGGGTCCCCGTCCAGACCCAGGCTGCTGTGGGACCTCAGCAGGGACATCCTGGAGGCTTCAAACAAGCTGGGATACAAGGAAAGCGCCTTGACTGGAAGTTGGGATCACTGACCAGGGTGGCCGTGCCCTGGCATGGCTGTGTAAGGCCCTGGGGGCAACTGTCCACCTACCCTGCAGGGAGCGCCTCTCGCCAACCAGCAGCTAGGCCAGCACCCAGAAAGCATTTTCCTCCAGCAGATACAGGAGGAGGATGGCGGTGACGTGGCTCAGGTCCCTGTGGTAGCCCACCTCCTGCAAGAGCCAGGGTCACCATGGATGGATGTCACCTGGGAAGGCTGAGGCCACCTGGGAGGACTCACATCCCCAGAGATGGCAGAGGTCCTCAGGGACACCTGCCACAGGCCTCCAGGGATTTGGGGTGGGCATGAGGACTGAGCAGGTCACGTATGACTCAGCTGACAAGGATCCTGGGGGGACTCCTGCAGCGAGCGTCTAAGCTCACATGGCCCTAAAGGGCACAGGCAGGGATTGTTCATGCTCCCTCCCATGGGCCAGGCTGAGGAGGCCACTATGCCAGGCCTGGAGCAGCACCTATGAACTGCACCCACCATAAGGGCAGGCAGCGGGGTGCTGACCACCACACAAAGGGTCCTGCAACAGCTCAGGGGCTGCCTGCCAGGCACAGGAGGGCGGCTGGGTCCAGACCCCGTGTGGGCAGCCCATGGAGTCAGCTCAGCAGCTCTCCCTGCCTGGAATGGCCTGGAAAGTCAGAGTGGTACAGGAGCAGCCACCTGGGTGACACCCTCCCTGTCTGTTGCCCTACTGTGGGGTTCAGGCAAAGGGGAAATTGGATCTCTGATTGGTTTCTGGTGAAGAAGAGGCTTCCTCAGGATACAAACTCATTTCATGACAAGAGCCTGGTCCATCAGGCACCTCAGCCACTTGTCAGACCTGTCTCCTGTGAGGACCATCTGCATGCGGCCCTGCCAAGCTCCTGGGCTTCGGGGCAACAACAGGAGGGGAAGGTCATTTCTTCATCTGAGACGTGGTGGTTGGGTCCAGATGACACCAAGAGTCAGGACCTCAACCCTTTTCTGTCTCAATTTGACCCCTTGCGCCACCCCCTTGCTTGGGTGTCCACGCCAGCAAGTGAGCTTGAGTTCTGCCTACTACGTGCTGGTGGGTCACGAACACTGAATTTTCAAGAAGTGCCGACACCCCCGAGAGACACCCATGCCTGTGAATATGGGCACAGGGCCCAGGAATATCGCTGCCTGGGAATACTCACAGGATTATATGCAGAATAGGCCACGAGGATGTCACATAATTCCTGCTGCCTCAAAAAGAGGGAAAAGAGGGTTTTGTTTGTTTTGCGCGGATGCTGTCAGTTTCATTTTCTCTACATACCTGGACAACAAACACAGTTCTGGGTTCAGATGATCCCCCAAATAAGTAGTGAGCTCTTCAGGACACCTGAGTTTTTAGGAGTTTTTTCAGTAAAATCCACATTCTTTGCAATGCAAATATCACAGGTGTAGTTGGATCAGTGATTATTTTCACTCTGGTTGATTTTTTCTTCCCCCTTTTCTCGGTTTGCAGACACGGAAGTCCAGTCTTTGGGATGTGCAGTTCTACGGTTCTGAACCAATGTGCAGACCCTTCCGTCCACCACTGCAGCCCCTCCCAGAGCAGCTCCTTCATCCTCCAAGTCCCCAGCATGTCCCCTTTGCAGCCAATGTCTCCCAGCTTCTTCAGCCCCTGGCCATCCTGACCTGTTCTCTGTCCCTATGGTTTACTCTTTTTCAGAATGGCTGATGAATTGGAATCCTATGGTGGTAGCCTGTTGGGTCTGGCTTCGTTCCCTCAGCAATATGCATCTAAGATCCACCCATGTTCCTGCGGGCATCAGGGGTTCGTTCCTTTTCCTCCCTGATCTTCTCTCTCTGAAGAGTGGAACCCCCTTCCTCCCCAGTTCCAGTGTTGAAGAGCATCTCAATAGCCTCCGGATGTGAGTGACAATCAATCAAGCAGTGAGTGTGGCATGCGGGTTTTATTTGCACATCAGTTTCAACTCTGTGGTCAATATCTGTGACATTTTGGGGATGTGTGGTATGAGGCCACTGAGCTTTGTGAGCCACAGCCCATCTGACTTCCAAAGTGACTGTTCCCTGTCGCGTGCCTGCCAGCCATGGATGAGAGTTTCCGGGCCCTGCATCCTGCCTGGTATTTTGGGCTGTCAGCGTTGCCCGGGAAGGCTCCCGAGCCCCGCCATCCTGCCACCTTCCCGTGGGTCCCTACCGTCGCTCATTGTGGGGCATAGAGAGCACCTTCCACCATCTGCATGATTTTTTTTTTTTTTTTTTGCTGCCTTCCATCTCCTTGGGAGCCACCTGGGTTCTGGCCCCACATGTCCCAGCCCAGCCCAGAGCTTAGAGCCCGGGAGGTGCTCAGTCCATAATGCTGGCTGCTGCCTGGGCCAGGAGAGCCCTTGGCAGCTCTGTCACTTTTCCTGGGTGACCGTTGGCCTCTGCCCTGGGGAAGCCCTCATCCCTCTGTATCACCCCCATCTTCCCTGGTACCCCTGCAGCCCCCATAGGCCTTACGTGACTCCAAATCATTCTCTAAACATCATGTGGTTCTACACGGTGTGGCTGACATCTGCCTTGATGTGGTGAGTGATCCTGGACGACCTCTTGCCTTTCTCCTTCACGACCTGTAGGGCAGGGCTGAGAGGAGGAAGCAGCCTCAGAACAGACAAAAGACTCCCTGCCCCTGATGGCAGTCATCCCACAGTCAGCACTTCTGGTAGGAAGGGAGGAAGGTTTCCTTCTGCAGAAAGCGACTTTTTGCCTTGTTTCTGAAGCCAGGGAGGGTCACGGAGCCCAGTGCACCTGCAGTGCCTGAGTCCCCATATGTGCCCAGCATGTGCATCTGACCACAGCCCCCACCTCCAACCCGGGCTGGACGTTCCCTCCAGCTGGAGTCCTGGGCTCCTGACATGGTCTGGCCTGTTTGTCCTGTCCTAGCTGAGTGTGGGAGGGCTGTATCCTGTATTCCTCTGGGTTCTCAGCCTTCACTTTGTCAATGTCTAGCAGGAGTGACCATGCCTGGCCCCACACCACCAAGGAAATGCCTTTGTACGTGTTTTGAGACAGCTACAGACAGAAGAACGCTCCAGTGAGACAGGACATGGGGTGACTCGGGGAGGAAAGCTGGCGAACAGGCCTGCTGTCCTATGGTGAGGACAGGGTGCCACCCACCCACTGAGAGGCCAATAGTGCCAGGTCACAGTCATGGGCGCCTGTCTCCTGGCTCTGCAAAGAGCAGTCACAGGGGCCATTCCCTCCATGTTACTTTCTTGCTGCTCCCATATTTTGTCCAGTCTGCAAGCATCTTCAGCCACTTGTCAGTGCGTTTTATTTCCTGCTGTCTTTGCTGTCAAATGAGCCATGATGGAGTTAGCGGAATGCCAGGCCCCTGGCAGTGGCCCGTGGATGCTGGGTCCAGGGCTTTGGGGCCCTGAAGAGACCCAACCTGAAGGAGCCAGGAAATAGCAGATCCCGGGGGCTGAGACCCTCTGAAGGAACCAGAGCTGGTAGTCTGGACTGGTGATGCCAGGACACGCCTTCCTCAGGCCACAGACACCCCGAGTGTTAGTTGGGTCCCAGCCTTCAACTGCAGACTTGGTGCAAATGGGCAGTGGACTCTGAGCCAGGACTGCAGTTCTTGGTTTAAGTTTTGGTCAAAGCCTCATGGAAACAGAGTCCAGCCAGAATGGCCGCCCCTCCCAGTGACAGCTATGGCCCTCTCACCACCGCCCGGGCCCACCAGCCGCCACCTCTGCCTCACCGACCACCCCTGATTCCCCATCCCTGGGGCGGCCTCCCACACAGCAGGCACAGGCTCTTACCTTCACCTCCAGGCCACTGGTGGGGACAGCTCCCTCTCACTGTAGGGCAACCTAGGCAGAAGCCATCCTCCTGCCTAGGGCAGGAGCCATCCCCCTCCTTGAGAGGGCCCAAGGGAAGGACCAGCCT